AAATCTGCACGTTCGACGCGGTCCAATAAGGATGCCGAGCTAGCGCGCATTCAGGCCCGTGAGCGTATTAAGGCTGCGAAACGCGAATTTGCTGCGCGACAGGGCCTCAACAGGGCCACCGATGTGGACGCCACTGCCAGTCCCGGCTTTGTGGTCTTCTGAGCCAGGGGGGAGGGGGAGGGGACCTCTTCGCTCCCCCCTCCTTTTCTGCCCGCGTATGCCTTTTTACTTCCCCCGACATATTTCGTTCCCACCGTCGCACCATTTACCCACATTGCTTTTAGCTCGAACTCAGTACTACTGACTGATACCAACCTCGTATCAGTCCTCTCCCTTCTCGCCCTCATTTGGCTGCTGCCCCATCAGCCTTTCACACACTCAAAGACTAACCTATCCCGCCCTCCTCCTCGTCTTCTGATTTAGACCGCCGTATTCTGTATTTAGGTATTGGCTATTATCCTAAAAAATTTTGATCCCTTTTCAATCTATAATCGTCTAAATCATGATGTGTATTTGTACGCCCGTGGTAGTGTTCCGAGTCTGCCCTCGAGTCGTTGCCACGTGAATTTTTTTAAAATAATGGACCAGTGCATTTTTTTCCTTGTTGCTTTTCGTTCTAGTGTGTTGGGCTATGAATGCGTTGCTGCACCCTCATGTGACGTTATTCAAGTCACCCCCGGCGTGTGGTACCAGCCAGTAAGTACGGTGGTCGAAATGTAGGGCTGATAATGCAGTGACCAACTTCAGGCAAAAGTAGTTTCTGCTCAAATTGAGCAGGGAATCTGGTGACTTTGAGTAAGTATCTCCCCATTTTCGTGTTTATCTGGCTCGAAAGTTCGACCATCGCAAGCGATGGCGTCCACTGAGTAGGTTTATAGTCGGTCAGGCTTGCACAGCACCTATCACGTCCTCTCTTTCCCTATCCACTGGGCTGAGGTGGTACGACGGCCGGAGATGGGCGCTGACGAATCGCAGGGGGTTAAGCAGGTGAGACCCTAGCAACTGCTACCTTCAGCCCAGGTTCCTTAGGAAAAGAGAAGTCATGGGAAGGCCATAGAGGTGGGAAGAATTCGTTCTGTACAGAAGGAAGCGGAGAATAGGCAATGGAAAATTGACTGTTAAACGACCGCAAGCCAGCGAACGGCGTCTGAGATGATGTTTGCTCGGCAGTCGTCACATGAAGTCCTCTGTGAGTCGGCCTGTGATTGGCTGTTCCAGTGGCCGGAAGCAGCAAGCGTTCACAAAAGCACTTCGTGTGGAGCTAGTCACTACAGACGCCATGACCGTCGAACAGCCCGCCTACGCGTGCATCACATGATCTGGTCCTCCTTTTACGTATCGGGCCTCTGCAAAGGCGTCTTCGATTTCTTATGCGTGAGATCAATAAACTTCACATTAAAAAGCAGTTGTCGCAGTGCGGATCTGAAACTTAAGGTCGACCGAGTCATCCCATTGGTCGGTCTTCTTCCAAACCACAGGGCTTAGCGCATCGGGTTGAAGGCCTACGTTAATTTTTTGTAGGGATGGGCTCCCAGTGCCAGCCTCAAATCTCTCGTGCACGTGTGCAGTATCTGGGCTTATCAGCCAAATGATGATGCCATTTGATTCAGGGATTGACCCAGCGCGAAGGCCTACATCACTCCATCGCACGCACGTACAGCGGTAGCAATGGTCTCGCGCGGGCCCGATGAAGTCCGAAAAGCGCGTGTCGTGAAGGCATCTGACTCCAGTCTTGGTCCCGTGCAACCGGTTTTGGGGGTCGACCACTTCCTTCAGTAATAGTTTTTAGAAGAGCCTTATCGTTAAATCCACATGACGGTCATTCGATTTCGAAGAGGTCTCTGTTTTGCCCCCT